GCTGTCCCACGTCACGTGCGGAAGCATTCGTCCTCCAGTCGCGCAGATCAGGGTGCCCAGACGATTCTGTCGTCGAAGCAAATTGATCAGATTCTGATGGATCGTATTGTGACCCGGCCATTGTCTCCTCCAGACAGCGACAAGCTTAAGGAGCAAAATTCTTCTCCCTTTGCCACTCCGAAGGCAAGGACTCGCCCGACTCACCAACCCTCCGCAACGTCTCTCCCGTCCCACAAGAGGCCTGGAAGTGCTCTTAGCCAGACTTCTAGCATCCAGAGCCATCCTCCCTTGCCCGTGGATCATAGGGAGGCCATCATGGCAGCGGAGAAGAGATCGTTGGAACAACGCCCCTCTTCTCCAAGCCTGATGGGCCCGCCTCTTGCCCCAGCGTCTGCCTACAGGACGAATGTAGCTCAGCGTCCACGGACTCCCAATGATTCCAACCTTCAACCTGGAACCGCAACTACAATGTCACGGATGAAGGTGAGGCGCGAGAGCCATGTGTCGCGGAGATCGTCTGTGTCATCATTCGCTTCTGAGATTGAAGAACGGTTCAATGGCCATCCGAACCCAGCTCTCGGCCCTCAAGGTTATGCTGCCGGTACAGATCCCCGAATGATCCAGGCAATCACACAGACTATGATCGGAGAGTTCTTGTGGAAATATACCCGCAAGACCGTGTCCGGGGAAATCTCCAACTCGAGGCATCGCCGCTACTTCTGGCTCCACCCGTACACCCGCACGTTGTACTGGAGCGAACAAGATCCACAGAGTGCTGGCAAGAGCGAACTCCGCACCAAGAGTGTTCTGATTGAAGCTGTCAGAGTTGTTCCAGATGACAATCCTTATCCTCCCGGTCTTCATTGCAAGAGTCTCGAAGTGGTCAGCCCGGGCCGCCGGATCAGGTTCACTGCAACTACTAGTCAGAGACACGAGACTTGGTTCAATGCTCTCTCGTATCTGCTGTTGCGCAACTCGACGGAAAACGGTGAGGAGCAGGAGGGTGATGCTTCACTGGAAGACATTGATGAGTTCAACCCCGGATTCCGCTCACGGTCGCGTCAGACCTCCCGGCTGTCATTCTCGTCTTCTCGGAGTCGAACAAGCCGGAACTGGCCTAAGCAACGTGCAGGGTCCATCCTGTCAAACCGTCGGGCGGCCACCCCTGGTCGTAGTTCCCCGGCCTTGAGTACGCCGTCTCATTACTCGGACCAGAGACACGGCTCTTCCTCCCGTCTTAGTACAATCTTAAACACCACAATCAAGGGTTCTTTCGGCCGAAAGGGTCCTAACTACGCTACCTCGAGCATGCATGAAGGAAGCCTTCATACACATGACAGCGAGGAAGATCTGCGGCAAATGATGGAAAGACAGGATGATCGGCTCGAGAATGTGCGGGCCTGCTGCGATGGTAAGTTCTTTGCCCCCTAATCTTGCGATTCCGTTGCCCTACCATCATAACAAAAAGCTAATGACCTTGAAACAGGCAAGCATGATGTCGGCGCGCTGTCAAGGACCAGCAAATACAGCCCCCGTGTCAACCGAATCCACTCCCATCACTGAAACCGTCATCGTGAGCAATCTACTGAGCCGTGGCCCTGAGGCCTACCTGGCGATTTTCCTCTAGTTTCTTCCCATGGTGTTAAACATTTGCATGAGCCTCTTTTGCATTATCACTATAGTCATATTTTGGCACCTCATAATGTTCATTTGGTGTTTATGAGCGCAGAATCAGCGTCTGGATCAGCTTAGCCGCGAGTTTGCATACCCCCTGATGGGCACATTCCTCACTGCCGCCAGTTTCTATACTTTAGTTCCTTTTAATCTCTGGGGCTTGACCTCATCACCCCTCTCCTGTGCCCCCATCATTTTTGTTGTCATTCATTTGCGAGCTGTTTTCGCACGAAACCATCCATCTATCCATATGTTTCCTATGTTGATTACTCAATTGTGAGCTTAACATACTTACTACCTTGTGAACTTGGGCCACTCATTACCCACTTGGCTTGATTGCCATCTGTCACAAATTTTTCGTTCTTTTTTCCTCTACATTTTTCATTTTTCTAGATCAACAGAATACTGTGCATTTACCTGTGCTGGATTGCACTTGTGTACGATCGAAGCTGTATTTCATCCCCCTTTTTGTGAACTCAAATTGGTTGCGATTTTGATGGCGGGTTGTCCTTCTTGTCGACCAATTGCATCCAATTGGTTAGCTTCGCATGTGCCAATGCGATTGGTTGGTCAGTTAGTACTATCCATGTCGTTTTTCTGGTGTGCTCTTTACATTGGGGAAATTGATTAGGTTAGGTTAACTACCCTTGTGATAATCGAAGATCGTGTGTGAGATTGAGGAATTCTGCTAGCCAGTCGTAGAGAGAGACGAAATGATACTAACTAAAGGGTAAATAATTCTAGCCTTAGTAGCTCACCAGCAAGCAAGCACCCTTCGGAAGTCACAGATATTAGCATCAAGCGTAGATTCTCATTATTTCACTTTTCATAAATGCTATTCTCGACTGACTATCTAAGGGTATCATATATAAACTAATGCCATAAACATACATATCTATCATCAGTATTAGAACTGAAAGAGTCATGACTAACAAGTCCGAGTCGGCTTCGCCCGTCCAGCCGGCCAATAGTCAAACAGGTACTGAGCTTCCCATGTCCATGGGCCACCATCGGTCTCTGGTTCTTCTTCGTTGGTATTGTTATTGTCAGTTGTATCTAGAGGGCTGTTACCGCTCTCTGAAGCTCGACGGCGATTATTGGGACGTTGTTGTTGTTGTTGTGGGGGAGGATTGGTATTGTTATTGTTGGTGGTCATGTTGAAGCGAGTAAAGGCTGTAGGGTCAGAGTGCGCTTTTTGGAGGGAGGCGGTTCTGCGCTCTGTTCCGGCTTTTAGAGGTTGAGGTGGTTTTGGCGTAGTTGTTGTAGGAATGGTGGTGGAGGTGGTATTGTGTTGCGGGCGCGGAGGGGGCGAAGGTGGTGGGTTATCATTATCGTCGTCATCTGATAATACTATGGGGTCTTTGTCATGGTCGTTTCTAGTATGAGGTGATGGTCAGTTTTGTTTGTTCGGCATTCTGGGGGTTCGGTACATACTGACTCTGATTGTGGATGTGGAAGTGGAAGTGGAAGTGGAAGTGGTTGTGGTTGTGGCTGTTGTTGGGGTTCTTGTTGTTGCTGCTGTTGAGCTAGGATGGTATGGTACATGAGTTTCTTGCGGGAGGGTTTGGTTTTGCTGGGAAGGCGGAGGATGTTGGCTGGGGGGTCGTTGTTTCTTGGTGGTTCTGGTTCTGCTTCTGGTGTTGAAGGTTGGAGTTGGGGTTGTTCTCGGGGTTTGGGAGGAGGATTGGGAGCGGTCTGTTTTCGCTGGGGTATGTTGTTGGCCTGGAGAGTGGGTTTCAAATGAGAGATGGGAGGGGCTGTGGTGTAGTTCTTTGGGTCAGTTGTTATAGAGTGTGCGACTGATGTTGTCTCTGTCTGTCTTCTTGACATCTCCGGTTCTGGTCCTGTTAAATCGACGCTTGCTGGTTCACGCCGACGGGCGACCTTCTCGGATGCGATCTCTGTCTTTTTGCGTTTCGCAGGGTAATCCACCCGCTCATTCTCTTTCCCATTCACCGGCAATATATGGTTTGATGTAGGGCCCGTTTGAGGCGAACCTGCGCGCTGTGTCGGAGCCGGAGTCTTCTTGATACCCAGAAGATCATTCAGTGAGCGGGTCGGTTTCTGCTGGGAGGGCAAAGAAGGTCGTGCGGGAGTAGAGGAATTATAGACGACTGTTGTAGGGGTTGGTGTCCCTCCGGGTCGTTGAGACGGTGATGAGCCTTGACCTTTTCTTTTGTTACTATGCAACCCCGACAGGTCTGTCTCTGTTCTCTCCACCGGTTCGCAAACTTCAATCAGGGCGCCGTTGTCCAGCTCCAGTTCGTCACCGTCCTGGATGCCCTCATCCTGTCGGCAGTGGTGGTCGCCGACGTAGTTACCGGCGACATCGTATACCATGATGCGTTTGTTGAAGGTGTGGTATCGGAGGAAGCCATCTTGCCAGCGCTTGGCTTTGCGTCGCATGTCATAGGTGTAGAGGCAGCGGAAGCGGATCACGGGTGCGGTGTTTTGTGTCGCAGGGACGTTCATACTGGGGGTACTTCGTGGGGTGGCCATTTTGGTGTAGATGGAGAATGGTCGAGACAGAAACAGGGCCCTTGATCGGTGGCCCTGTGTCTGATCACCATCTAATGAGAGAGAGAGAGAGAGAGAGAGAGAGAGAGAGGGATTGATTGTTGCGGGGAAGAAAGTCGAGAAGATTGGCGGAACTGAGCCGCGGAGACGGGATGTTTGCCTCAGGCAGGCAGAATGTTAGTCAATCTGCATTATTATTGATTGTTTGACGTGCATATCAGCAATGCACGCCATTCCCTGTCACCAAATCATTCTTTTTGGCTGCAACAGAGTCTGCCTTGGCGGTACTACTTGGTTACTGGAGATGAGGTGTATCCTTAATGACGAGGACCGCGCGGCACAAGCTATAGAGAGCATGTTTAAGGGGGTTGTCATTACACTTCATCCAGATATACAGTAGCAATGTCTGGCATATCCTCTAGCGTCAGCGTAGTGCATCGACTAGTTGGAACTGGTCCGTTCCCTGGGAATCACCAGAGAAATCCATTCATGTGAACCTGATCGACAAGGTACTTTCCCACCGCAGAAAGAAAGATATTATTCGCGACAAAAATAGCGTTGCGTCAGCCCATCCAGCCAGAAGGCTGAAACACGCTTGAGACCCTCTTTTTTTTACCCTTTTGCTGGGGAAAGTAGCAGCAGCAGCAGCAGCAGCAGCAGCAGTAGCAAAAGTAGTAGCAGCAACGGCCCCTCTGAGGGGGGCTGCGTCATGCGCGGCTGGGCTTAGTTCTCACGCGCAAATGAGTCCTTCTCCAGCAATGCCACGATTCCTCATTCTCTCTTTCTCTCTTCTTCTCCCCCTCTTGTTTCTAAACTTCTCCTGATTCCGCGGCCATTTTCAATCCCTTCCCTCGTCCCTGAATCTCCTTCTTCGCCAATGACCGTCTCTCCTTCCTAAACTCAAATTCCCCGCCTGTCTGTCCCAATCTCCGCATTTCTCCCTTTCTCCTCCTCCCCTCTTCCCCTCCACTGAGGGGGCCCAATTGGCACATCATGCAGTCTATGCAGAGGCAATTTGGCCGACTTATGAAACGGTCGGCCGATGACAGCCAAGTGGCAATTCTGCTCAAGGATTTTGAAGAAGCAGACAAGATCTTAGGACGAGTAAGTAGTACCATCATATTATAATTTCTTTTCCCAGCATCATGCTTTAGCGTGCACTTCCCCTGCGGGGTGTGATTTGTTGATATCCTTCCGTTATTTGGAACTGACAGCAACTCTTCCGCATTCCGACAGATCATCGATTCCACCAGCGCATGGCGCGATGCTTGGTCGTCTCTCTTGACGCACCAAAATCGAATGCTGAGCGAGTTCGAAGGCCTCTATGCTCCTATCCTCGGCTCATCCGATTCTTCTGCGCCACAGCCTGCCTTAACCCCACAGGCCACCCTGGCTCGGACCAACAAGCTCCGCGAGCACTATGAAGACCTCCGGAAAGATTTACTAGGGGATCTGGCTGCCATCGATGATCGCATGATCCGACCTGCGTCGCAGGCTAGGGAATTTATAAGCCCAGTTAAGAAGACCATCAAAAAGCGAGATGATCGAAAGGTGCGCATTATCTTGCACATGGGGGACCCATAGGAACCCCGTTCCTGGCCTCCCGCTCAGGAACCCGCCCATTAATGCAACCATTCCATTGCTAATTCTGTTCCCATTCTAGTTGGATTTCGAGCGCTACCAAGGGCGCGTAGACAGCTATGCCAAAAAGACGAAGCGATCAGACCGGGATAATGCCGCCCTGGCCAAGGCAGAGAGTGACCTTGCCAAAGCGACCGAGGTACGTGCCATCTGCCATCAATCCATCTATACCTAGTATTTAACGGTCGCAGGACTACCACGCAGCAGACGACCACCTGCGAAAATGTCTACCACCTCTGATCGCCGCTGCATTCTCGCTACTTCCTCGTCTGCTCGCCACACAGATTGAGATCCAAAACACCATGCTCGCCAACTACTATACCGTTGTCCACAACTACTGCCAGGAGACCCAGTTCCCCTCCCCGGCTCCCCCCATGGAGCAAGTCATCCAAGAATGGGAACGCGACCACCTCCCCGTCCAACAAGAAGTCGAAGCATTCGACTGCATCGTCAACGGCAAAACCGTGAAAATGTCCCAAGTCCCCGAGGATTCACGAACCTCCCGCATCACCAGCCGTCTCCCAGCCATCAACGGATCCTCATTCTCCCGTCGTCCCTCGAACTCAAACACAAACGGCGAGAACCCTCCACCCAAGCCCCCACGGCCCACTTCGCCTTCTGCTACAGCCGCAGCTACAGCGACAGCGACAGCAATCAGCAACAAAAAGTTCCCCCCACCCCCCAAACCATCCTACGACACCAAACCATCCCCTGTCTTCGAAACCAAACCCCGATTAGCCTCCTCAGCATCCAACAACAACCTCACCATCCCCTCCACCTACCACCTCTCCCCCCAACCATCCTCCTCCCCAGGCACCGAATCCTACTACTCCGCAACCGAGCACGCCCGCACCCCATCCCCAGGCCCTTCATCCTCCGTGGCCGCCCGCGCCGACTACTTCAGCCGCATCCAGCCCTCATCCACCCCATCCAGCGCCATCCGAGCAACTTCCCCCGGCGTGAGTGCCTTAGTCGCCGGGAAGAAGAAGCCCCCGCCGCCGCCCCCACCCCGGGCTAACTCGAACAATGCCATGTACGTGACGGCCCTGTATGATTTTGGAGGTCAAAGTGCTGGAGATCTGGCCTTCCGGGAGGGAGATCGTATCCGTGTCTTGAAGAAGACGGAGAGTACGGATGATTGGTGGGAGGGGGAGTTGCGCGGGGTGAAGGGGAGTTTTCCGGCGAATTATGTGGAGTGATTGTTTGGTGGTGATGATGTACATAGCTGGGAGGATGGGTTGTGTGGTGGTGGGTAGGGGTTAGGGGAAGAATCAAAGAGTCAAATGTATTCCATATATTTATTCATATTTAGTAGTTAATATCTTGATATCATGTCCCCTTGTTGGGGGGTTATAGTGGTTAGGAAGTGGATCATACGGTGTATACACTGTACATAAATTGTCTTCTCTGATTAAGAGGGCAAGGACTCATATGGAAGCGTGTCATTGGACAATGACTTGGTATAAGTTTTATCATACACACTGTTACTAGACTGAGTTGTCTCATCATCTGCCACAATCGGTGTTTGTTCATTCTTTGAAGCGTCAGTCATGACCAAAAGGATAACCGAAAGATACAGATAACCCATTCCTAGTAGGACACTCGCTAATGTAGACTTCCTGATCGATGGTTTAAATAAACGCACCCTCGGATGGTGCTGCGTCGGATATTTCGGTGCCCATTCGTCGTCGGCGACTTTCCAGAAACATATCCACCATGCGTTTACTCGAGATGGGCGAGTACATGTTCTGCACTTGACTGTCCTGGCTAGTGATCTCGTGATACCCACTCTCGACTCGGACATTCTCGTCAGTCAATCTTCTATTCTCGTAAGGTGCACGTGAAGTCCTGAATTGGGAGGCCTTCGAATCCAATCTGGAAGGCTGTCTCCCATATCCTCTTACCCCTGTTCTCCACCGGGCTTTGTCCGTTGCATCTCTTCTTGGAGTTGGTGACTCTGGAGCTCGATATCGATAATTCAATAGCGCAGGTACTGGCGACAAGGCCATTCCATCTGGCCGTGTCTCTACCTGATTAATAAACAAGTTATGCCCGCTGGAGCTGCTTGATACCTTGGGGGTCAAGTCCGCCGGCGGCGGAGGTGGAACCAGAGTATCTGGTTGCTCCTTCGGGGCAATGATTGTGTTGCGTATACTGGATGACCGACTGAACGGACGTGAGAAGTTATTTCTGGCTGTTACTTTGCAGGTCGTCCACAGGTCTTCGTCTGGTGATCCACTCCAAAAGCCTCGTGTGTCTCGAGATGGAGTTCGGTATGCGAAATCAGCTCTTTCGTCTTGGATCTGGGCATCTTCTCGATAGTGACGCCTGGTAGGTGTGAGGCATTCAATTCGCTCCATTTGCGTGTGCATCCATTGCTGCCAATCCCCACTCGGTCGTTGCATCGCATCGGGACCCTGGCCAGAATTACGCTTTGGCGAGCTATAGATCGCCCGCTGACTTGCGTATATGGTAGCCACACCTGGTTCATTCGCCACTTCAGGGTCACACTCACCCGGTTTTGGGTCCTCTGTGCTGGGCGAGTTTCCACCTATTGAGCGAGAATATATACTTGGGGAATCCTCGCTTTCCTCTGGGCTCGGAGACCTTCCCATAGCCACGTTTCCAGTCTCGTCTCTAAAAGCCTCCTTGACAGTGTGTTTGGACGATGCCAGTTTGGAAATATCATAATGTTTGTCCTGCAGATGCTTTTGGCCATAGGTGCGCTGAGCCTGACATGGAATTGTTTCGCAGGGCGTGACTGTACCCGCATCAGCTGTCGTATAGGAACCGGGGCTTTGAAGTGACTCATCGCTGGCGATCAAACGAATCGTCTTCTTACTACGGCGAGTGTACATTGAGGACACAGGTGTCGGAATTGCGCGATGTTCCTTGACATGGCCAAGGACGATTTCCTCGCTTGCATTCTCCGTCTTGTTCCCATCGATGCGCCTCATCAGCGCAGAATACAAGCGCTGACTGTCTATCGTACAGTTAGGCTTTGGAGTGCGACGAGTGGCCTGTGAAGCATCTTTGGATGAGTCCGGCTTAAGGACGGAGCTGTCTTGCTCGTCTATAACAGACAAAGAGCTGTGGTCGTCTGCTCTATGTGTTACTACAGTGTCTGCTATCGTCGAGTCCGCCCAGCTTGTTACGCGAGAACGACTTGTGGCAAGGCTCTCAGAGCTTCCAGACTTCTTGACTCCTGTATATATCACAGTTCCCTCAGTACCTGGTGAGTGGAGAAGGGCGCTTTCCTCGATGCCAGACTTCAAGAGATCAGAGTGCTTTTCGGATATTGGAGAGCGCGACCCCTGTGTCCGTTGTTGGTCATTTGAGGGAGATTTCCCCAGAGTCGCACGGGCCGAGGATGGTCTGGAGAGCCCAAACACCTTCTTGATTCCTTTCTTGAGGGACGACGACAGTGATCTAGCCTTGCCGTAGGATATGACGTTAGTGGACCGCTGCGTTGCCGGCGACACGCTTGCTAGCTCTGCGTCTGACACCCCTGAACGGAGTGTTTTCTTGAAGGGTTTGTGCTCTCGCCTTGACTTGGGAACTATTAGTGAAGATTTCCGGGGCTCAGTCTGACAGTTTTCCGGCTGCTGGTGGTGATTGCGTGCCAATTCAATCGCCGCCTCTTGACCCTTAGCATATCGGAGAGCATCAGCATCTCGAGTATCCCCTCGGAAGAATGACATGGAGCGTCTCAGCGTGCCAGGAGCGCGTGGAATATCCCGAGGCTCTCTCTTTGCCGGGAAATCATTGCTCGGACATCCAGGTGATGCCAGTCCACGGGATACATGGGAGGAGCGCTGCCAATTCGTGAACATCGATCGGGTCTTGCGGAGTCGCCGATAGGAAGAAGGCAAAGTAGCGATACCGACATCGAGCCCTCCAAACTCCCTGGTAGACGGTAGACCAGCTGGTGGAGATCGATCGCTCGCCTTATTGAGCACAGACCGACGAAGATCTTCATTCTCAGCCGAAGCATTTGTAGAGTTGAATGCAGCACCTGCAGGGCGATGTTGCCTCTGAGGTACAGCCATTTGACTTGGACCACCGAGAACATCATACGAGCACTTGGAACGCAGCATCGCTCGAGATGCAGCTGTGGTAGCCTGGAATCTAGCGAGCTCTGGGTCGAAAGGTTCAGTGGATTGGGAACTGTGATGGCTTCTTCTCATGGACCGAGACGATTGGGACCTTCGCAGGGGTTCCATGGTGTGTATAGAAGACCAGTGGGGCATGTATCAAGTTGATGGAAGTATGAGAGATAGATGATAGAGATGTAAAGGTAATGCTCTCATCTGCAGCAGTAATCAGAGAAGGTGAAGGTCCATGTCGGCAAAGCAGAGGGAAGGCACGAGTTCCTGCCAAATATGGACATGATGGTTGCACTTGCACTGTCCCTACCACTGCTATCACAATCACTGCATGACACGAATTGGCTTGCCATATAACTATAGTAGCTGCTATAGGAGGGTTAGAGAGCTTGGGGTCTTCAAGCCTCCCCATAGAGCCCTTATCCATAGTACGATAGGCGGATGACAGGTTGGACACCTATAGTATGGACAATGAAAATAGTAGGTGAAGTATCAAGAAGAGCCATGTCTAACCTTCCGATAGCCAATACTCTTCCAAGCAGCATCTAGTCGCAACTGAGAGGCTATGCACCTAGTATATCTCCGGCTTGCAAATATTTTGGTGCCAGCACAACGGCCATATAGACGATATATACCCTGTTCCGTCAGTTGTATCTTCTGATCTGTCTGTACATACAAGAAGAAAAGAAGAGTTGGCTTCTTCAGTGGTGTAAGCAGATAGTACTAGTAGATGATCGCTTGGGCCATCCGTTCATTATCCATATATACTAGGCAAAATACTACTATATTGTCATTGGTGGGATCCGATCAAACCCACCATAGAGAGCGATGATACCATTAAGTGGGAATTAATATGTAAGTAGTCTTATTCGAGAGAAGCAGATAGTTAGTAAGCTTTATGAAGTATTAGTGGATGAACAACCCTCACCATATTCCTTAGCACATGTGAAAATATATATCTAGGAGCGCACACCATAGTAATTACAACAGCCTAGTAATACACCCATTACATCTACATCAACCCAAGCAGTAAGACACCACTAACTAGTACCTATACAATTTAATCCACTAGGAAAGTAGTAGTAAGATAGGAACCCAAAGCCGAGCCACACCATCATCACCACCACTACTACCACCACAGTTATCAGCCAACAAATCCCGGCACGGATACCTATCATAGCCATTCCCGCGCAATGATGATGATGATGACGATGACGACGCCTCACCCTCATCTCATCCAACCCACTCCACCCATCCCGATAAACCCAGTTGGCAAGGGAGGAGGGGGGGGGGGACGCGTTATGCTTCATCTCGGGAAGACTGGGGCCGGCATACGTCAGATAGTCAATCACCGTGACCGTGCACACATACACATATACACACGGGTCGGAGGGTCAATAGATGTCACGAGCAACACATAAAAGGTAGGCAACTAATTATCTGGTAATTAGTATCTAATAGTAGTAGAAGAAAATGAAAGTATGACAGCCCGGCATGTACATGTAAGCCGGGAAGCGTTGACATCCGGGATCCGCGCTCTGTGCAGGGGTCTGGGCCCCCAAGTTCTCGTTCTCCTTCCCCCCCGGATGTCACACCGAAGAACATTGAGGAAGGGAAGGGACAGAAAAAGCAAGTACCAAGGATCGACAACGGTCTGCAGGCATTGGATACATTTCCGGAGTCCGGAGTTGCGAAGGAGGAGTAAAGTGGACGGACGGTTCGGGACTGTCAGCCGATCATTCATCCATCCGATTACTTAGGGTAGTTCTTTCATTGCCCGTTGCTTTTTTTTTTCTTCTGCCTTGCTTCCTTCCAAGTTAAAAAAAATATAACTGAATAAGATGAAAAGAAAAAGAAAGTAGATACTTAGGGCAAATGCATTATTCGATTTTTTGTTTTGAAAAAGAGGATAATAAATCGTACAATTAGCCGAATGGGTATGGAAATCGACCAACGATATTACAGAGCACACATGACATGACAAAGAAAATGGTACACGGAGGTGTGGGAACCAGACAAAGACGGTATAGAAAGCGAGGAAGGGGGAGAGAAAGGAAGAGGGAAAAGAAGAATAGAAGAATGACCGGGCGAGAGAAAGAGAAAGAGAGAAAGATCCAGCCTGCACCCCCTGCGTCCACTGTTGATGGATTCCCAGCGGTGTGTGCGCGTTCCTGCTGTCGGCAGTCTTGGACTGTCAAGCCCAAGCAGCTTTCTCTTTCTCTCTCTCGCCATGGCCCCTTCCGGGCCCAGATCATAACCATCCGGCAATCCACCCAGTAGCCCATTAATAAAATATAGATAACCAAAATGCCGTTCCTGTGATTTAAATAAGAAGCAAACCCACATGTACACCAGCCTACTCGACCGCCCTCCACCCTTCCCGCGCTCTGCAGTTTTGCCTGACGAAAGAGACGGGGAAGGATGGCGGATGAGAGTGGAACAGTGCCAGACCGCCAGGATAAATAAAATCGATAAAGCCGCCCTTCCATGGTATAATAGATGATCGATCAAACTCCCAGCAATGCATCAAGTCAGAGAGCATCAAGCCGCATACGGTAAGCGAGAAGCGAAGCGAAGAGTTGGCGAGATAGGCTCAAAAAATTCCCTGGGTTTGGTCCCAGCCGGCAGGACCCCTGGAAATATGCACAGTGATCCTTTGGGATCTCTGCACCCGTCCTATTTTAAAGCGCCATGGGATCGTAGCCGTGTCGTCATAGGGAGCGCTCGATCTCCTTGAATGGTGAGTCGTTGAGGATCTCCGATGGAAGGGCTCTCCGGTAGTCTCGGGGCTGGGCAAAGGGAGATGCTGAAAGAGGCCGACGCAGCTTCAATTGCTGTAAAACGCCATGTTAGTGTTGGTGTTCACGTAGAATGCAAGTGAGATGCGGAGGTCCGGTTTAGGGCTGACGACTTACCACACAGTCAGAGCATTTGCCTCCCTGGATGTTGACGCGACCGCGGCAACCGCGAGGATAATTGGCACAAGAGAACATGGCGATTTTTTTTGTGGGGGAAAGTTGAGAAATGCGTAGATGTTTTTTTCTTGGTAGTCGTGGTTCGAGTGAAGAAGATAAATCCCGTCAAGGGAGCTTTTCTAGGGCTGAAACTTGCTGTCTCGGAGCGGAGCAGGAAGGGGAAAAAGTACAATAAAAAAAGAAGTGTCAAAAGCACCGGAGACAATGAATAGTAATGAAAGAGAGACAGAGGGGAGGGTTAAAAAAAATTCAAAATAGCCCCAATCGCAAGCCACGGGGCAATTACGTCAAGATCGCAAGGCCGTTGTCTTGCAGCGGCACCAGCAAGGGGAGCGAAAAAAAGGGAGCGTATTTAGGCGCACCGGCCGGGGTCCGTTGAGGTTCTAGCGCTGAGGTTAGGCTGCGCCACTAAAGTGGGTGGTGGATGGGGCGAAGAGAGACACAAAAGTGCAAGAGCGTGCAGCAGTTGACTAGCAAAAAGGAATGAGTGACAAAAGGAGTGCAGGGCAGATAAATCGATCGATCAACGGTCAATTATCACACGGAGGGAAAATGGGATGGAACGTCGAGGAGACCTAAGAGGAAAAGGAGGTAAATCTGAGGGATCTCAGATTTATATCAGTAATGGAGATCTATGCGAAACGGCTTCCAGGAAGATCGGGGTAAAGGGTCGTCGAAGAACGGGCGAGTATTAGTGATAATAAATTCGGAAAGAGAAAAAAAAAAGTCAAATAATATAAAGCAAGCTATGCAAATGGTCGTAATAGGCAAAAACAAATATTAATTTTGGGGTACCATGGCATCCAACGGGCCACGGGACGGGGCAAGATGGAGCCCGTGTGTATATTGTTCTGATGCAGCCCTCGAATTGGAACCAGACTTGTCTAGATACCCGACTGTGTATGGTCAATGATTACTACCTTGTGGTGCTGGTGACAATGGTGGCGATGATGGATACTAGTAAACAAATCATAAACGCCGGGACTCACCATCATCTATCTCAGCATTCGTAATTTGAGTGTACCACAAGGGCCTGCCTTCGCTTGCTATCCTGGGCATCACCGACTGCTGGTCTTGGCATAAATTATTTTGCTCCCTGTGAAGTTGATGGACTCCCAACGGGCCATTGGTTCTTCGAATGCCCAACAGTGGACTCTTGTGTTTCCCGCCTGGCTGTTCGAAGGTGATCCGGAATGGGGAAAAGGGAGGGGGCAAAAGAGCGAAGGGGAAAGGGAAAAATTTTTTTTTTTTTTTTTTTCCTTGTTGTTCCCGAACCTACCATACAGTCTGCCCCCATGTAACAACCTGATCGCCCATATGACTCGCAGTTTTGGCCCCTGGGTGAGTGGAGGATGGATGACTTGATTGCAGGGCGGCGTGGGCCCTGTCAAAAAAGTGATTTTCACGACTCAACCATGCATCGCAATGCAGCTGGTATTGTCGACCTGGTCGCTTAAGATAGAGAAGCAGATAATAATTGGGGGACCCACTGGTACCAACAGCCGGCATCGTAGCAGCCCATGGAGTTTCGAATAGATGAGGGTAATAGAGCCGTAGCAGCAGAGTCTGGATCTTGGGCCCGAACCGTCGCACCAAGAAAGTTTCCACAGTTTCTGGAACGTCGACTGAGCTTCTTCTCCTTTTCTCTCACAGTTTCCCTTCTCTCCCCCTTTGCCCCTTTCGGAGTTGGCCCCCTCTTCTCTCAGTCTCACCCCTTTTGCCCTCTTTAGTGCGCAGTCAGCTGTCGGAAGACACGGGTGAAGTGACCAATGAAAGGGCGGTTTTACTGTCAGGTCTTTGTTCTCACCCTGGCATTGCCTTGATCCATGGCATTCATTGTTACTTCAATCGGGTGAGTCAGAAGACAACCTGAGTAGAGTCTGGATGACACCGAACGGTCCTCCGCGTCTTCCCTGGTCGCATCCTTGTCTTCCGTTGTGTTACCTCTGTTGATCACCCCTCAATTGCCTTGTTTTGTGGTGATCATTATTGCTTTTCCAATACATTCTGCCTGTTCGCCTCTCTTATTCGGGCCTTTTAATTTTTTTTTTTTTCTTTAGTTTAAAAGGTAGTAGTCTCGGTAAGAGTCAAGTGGGAGTCACTAGGTTCCGCACCGCTGGGTTGGCAAAAGTGGGGGGAGGCCTGATTGATGCCTGCCGCAAAGCCGTGGGCGGTAAATCCGTAAAGCCTGCT